AAAATAAAATAAAATAAATAAAATAATAATGAAAAAAATGAATGAGACACGGAGGGATGTGGATGTGTCTCTTACCCCCCCTTCTCCTCAGAACCATTTTGAGATTTCTTTTTTTGCGGAGACTTTTCTCCTAGATTCGGAAGTAATTTTGTTGTTAATGTAATACAGTCCGCTGTCTTAATGCTATTTTGCTGTCCCCGAACTGTTTATATATCAACAATCATAAACCCCACTGTCCATTGGATTTTGGAGAGAAAAACTGACTTTTCCTGTCTTCATAGACAACACTCTTGCTTATAGACCGACTGATCTTAAATAAATTTTTTGAGTACAAATTTTAAAAAAATAACCAAGATACACCTGTTTGTACGATTTTAAAGCGAATGTATATCTTGGGGAAAAAAACCAAGTTAACCGTCACATTAGTACTTTGCAGTGTGCAATTCGCGTATAGATGCAATTTATTAACATGGATAGTTTATTTGAGAAAGAAATAAAAACAGGAAAAAATTAGATCTAGGAGATAAAAATCAGGAAAAAAAACTCATGAAAACATCTTTTATTGAATGCCACCGCCTGAGATGTGTAAGACCGGGATAAATAAAGTATATGAGGGGTGACGCTAGAGAAAGACTATACAGAATATACAGTATCTTTGTTACTTTCACTACAAAAATGAAGGTTAAAAGGTGAAAATCATCGATGCTTGGCAATTTTCTGAATTTTTAATCACGCTAGCATACAGGCCTAGTGTATAATAAGACTCAAAAGAAAAGATAAAAACACTCTCTAACATTGATCCATATGTAAGAAACAAATTACACGTGTCATTCATTATCTATATTCTACACTTGTAGGCCCTATTAGAGATTTTGAATGTGGAGTGTAGTCTACAGTGTCTACACAAAATATCGGCTAATGCCTGAAGAACAAAATGCCGCTACATATTGATCTTGTTGTGTCTGAAAAAATATGTGCACAGAAAATTAAAGGAAAATTATAAATGACGCATTTTGCATAGATAAATGGAGCAAAGGCACACTGGTTTGGGTCAAAGTGAGCCAACGTGAGATTTCAAAGTTATACTTCCGTGTTGTATCGATGTTCTGATGACGTCACATAATTGACTTTTTCAAGATGGCGGACATGGGTTAGTCAGGTTCAGTGTCTCCACAATGACTGGTATCTATGCTAACATCGCAGGTGATTAGAAACTGCAGAAGATGGCAGATTTACGTGAAGAATACCAGTTTCATTGAACTATGTCTCTACTCTGTGTGTGTGGTAAGTAGCTTGCGAACTTGGGTAAAAAAATATTCGGCGACTGTACTTGACATTGGCAAGTCAACATGAATGGAGAGTCGGCTGTCAGATGGAGTGGCAGAGCCTCAGCGCCTTATATTACGTTCGACAACCTGACGTTACCTTTATTCACCGTTACTGCCTATCTGGCACAGAAAACTTCACGATCTAAATAACCTCTTACATCAATGGTCTAAAGGAGTGGGACCCATCTGAGTAACGTTACTGGTAGTAGAGTACTGGTATACTGGTATACTGGCCAAATAACATGGGTCGGTGCAATACGTTGGCTTAGTTTGTAATAAAACCAACATTGGCATCTACTGTGACCCAGGGTTCAATATTACAGACTATTGCAGTTTCTATTTATTAAGTCAATATGTAAACCACTTGGACACTTACTGGATGAGAATTTCAATAAGGGCAACTTTTGGGGACAATAAGTGTTTTCGTATTTATCCTAACATTTTAGCAAAGTGACTCATATAAAAAGCCACAGATTTTTCAATGTACAATTCTTTGCACTGTATTGAAAGTTATTCATAAATCCCTATGAATTTTTAAAACATGACTTGTCATATCCAAAGTCGTTATATACGGTTAAAGTGTAGCCCTATCTCATGCAGATTGTATTTTATATTTGCAACATTTTGCGAAAAAACTATACCTTGATCAGGGATGACATTTTCCTGACTACCACCAGATTTCCAACTTTTTGGGAGCCTCTGAATGGCAGTCTCATCCCTGCTTGGTTGCTTAACAACCCAAAGGGACTAATTGTAGGGTATTGGTTCCCATTTTTGAAGTACCTAGGTTTTATAAGATCTCATAACAAAGACAAACCCTTGGTATTTTGCAAAACCACCAAAGCTATTATGTCTAATATTATGCCTCTGCTTAATATACTCTTCCATAAAAAAAAGTTAAAAAAATAATTATAAAATGCACAATGTTAATGGGCCCCAACATTAAATTGGAGTGCAGAGTAATAATAGTGCAAAGCCATAAGCAATATCAGAAATGGTCGGTACCCCATGCATTAACTGAAGATCTAATTTAATCTCTTTTTGTATTTTATTGTGGTCATTTTCACTGTCATTGTAGAACTTGGTCCATTATCATAGACCATGTAATTGGACATGTGAAGTGCATTATAAATTGCCAACTTAATAGAATTTGGTAATTCTCTAGGGTATTGGAGTTTAAATGAAAACTGTACCAAGAAATGATGCCATATTGCTATATTAATCATTTATTGGTTTATAAAGACAAAAGAGATAATTGCAGAGCTTGACATACCTATAAGATATGTCTTTCCCAAGTGACACCTTGTGGTTGCCCTTTTTAACGATAAGTAAAAACAGCAGTTAAGAATTTTTTCTCATTTTCTGCTATTTTGTTTTATGCAAGAATGAAGATATATATATATATATATAAATATATATATATATATATATATATATATATATATATATATATATATATATATATATATATATATATATCGTGTTCGAGTTTAGTCTTTGGTTGTGAAAGAACATAACATTATATAGATTACTAGTAGGTGTTTTCTGCAACGTTGCTCATCCTGACAGTGTTTGAAAGACAGGTAAAATGTTTGGAAATTTTCATTAAGGACAACTGTCACAGTGATGTCCCTTGGGGCCAAATTGATTTGTAATTTGAGTCCTGACATGAATACTAGTAGAGGCAACCTGAATGAAAAAATGGCAAGTTGTCTTTATGACAAAAATGATGTATTATCTGTTAAAAAAAAAAAAAATTCAATTTCATCATTCAGGCTGGCAAGCACTGTGCATTAATATGAATTTATGTAATAGCTTGTCACTGTGGTTTTTTTTTTTTTTAATAAATATGTAATATTTTGTCTCAAACAATTTTAAGTCCAGTGTTCATTGCTGTAGATAAATATACTGGTACCAGTAATTTTGAAATGGTATTTTTTTCTTTTCAGTAAAGAAAGCAAGACTGGTTGGCAGTGAAGGTATGTTCTTCTGTCCCTCTTATCTTGTGTATATCCTTTCCACGACATCTGTTCCATCTTTAACATCTCCATCCATTTATAAAAAAATTATCTTATTTCCCTTGAATAAGGAAGAGGAGTCGAGTTATAACTAGGAGTCGAGTTATTATTCCACTCATTCTTTTAAATTACTAGTAAGTTGTTGGAAAAAAGTGTCAAACGTGTAAGGGGGAGAAGAGAGATTTTATAGAGGAAAAAATTCTGTGAAAATGTTTAAAACTTGAATGTGATTTTAGCTACTTTAAGGGGCCCGCACACAGTGAGCATTCGGCGCGCGCCACTTGCGCTGCGCCAGATGCTCGCGCTCCTCAGCTCCCCGCAAATGATGCGCTCTTTGCTCAGCAGAGATGCCTCCCGGCCTGCCCCTATCGGACGCACCGCGAACTGTGGGATCATGTGATTAAGGAAACATTACATATTTATTTTTTTTCTGAAAGTAATGGCAAACGGTGACCACGTTAATCAATCAGACTAACTATAACTGTGTACATTTTTGTTTACTTCGCTGGAGGCTGCCATTTTTCTTTGTTTCCGGCTACCGGCACGTGCGCATTGTTGGCATGGCGTGAGCAATCGGCGCTTGCACCCCGCACACGCTGAGACATTTGCCTCAAGAGACCAAAAATATCAAACACGTGAGATATTTTGCTCAGCCGCGCGAGAGGCAAAAATCTCACCAAAATAGCCCCGCACAAGATGAGAAAACGGCGCAGCGCAAGTGGCACGTGCCAAATGCTCACCGTGTACGGGCCCCTTTAGGGTTACAAGAAAAAAATACACAATAATTGACAGACATCAAACTTTTATAATTCTTAAAAGAATTAAAATGTTATAAAATAATTTTAGTTGTAAGCATAGCACATTTTAGAAAAACTAGATGGTGTCTGTTCAGTGGAAGTTCAGTTGTTATGATGTACTATGTCTATACTCATTTCACCCTAACAAATGGTATTGCATTGGAAAAAAAATCTGGTGAGATCCCACTATCCTTGCCTATGAATATGATATTAAAGTTTGAACAGGGTTCCAGTCCAGTTCAAGTTTCCATGTAATTACTTAATGCATTCAGATTCATTGCAAAGAGATCTATTGATCAAACTATCACTTGACATTTTACTGCAGAGAAGCAATTAAAAGCAGCACATAATACATAATATGATGAAATCTGTTATTCAACGTATGTTAGTTGGGTTTTATTGTGAATGCAGGGTGTAAGTTGCAAGCATAGAGGGAAATGTTATCCTACATAAAGAACAGCGTGATAGTACGTTTGTAATAATTCTGTGTGAATCATTCAGAGGGAACAATGTATTCTGCACGTCATACATTTGATACATAACACTGGTATGCACACAAATGTGTGCAGGTATAATATGATTATGTAACCATATCTGAAAATAAAGAGTTTGCTAGCAACTGCATAGATTCTCCTTGTATTGTCCGGTAAAAGGGCAAATGGCATCATCCACAGCTGCTTAATCATAACTTCTCTAAAACAAAATGCTAAACCTATCCTAAGAGAACATTACAGAAGAATCTTTTTCTCGGGTTTTTGAGTAAAAGAATTCAATCCATGTAGATATTCGAGTATCAGTTGTCTGGGTGGTGCAATTTCAGCATTTTTTGCCCTGCTGTGTACTCCGTAATCAGTGCTATAATATTCAAGGATCAAGTTGTGTAGAGACCATTGGGTTTTGTACTCCAGATTGATAATAGATAAATCCCAGGCAACATATAAATCTGTTGGGTGCTACTCGTTTGAAACATGTATATGCATTTTTGACCAGAGAATACTCATAAAAGCATAGAATTAGATCCTCCAGTGTATTACTGACAGATATAAATAACGAAACAACCTTTAAGTTTTTCTCTGCAGGTTTCTTAAAGGGCAGCGGGGTGTTATAAAAAATTGAATTTTATTGATTTTATTGTCTGCTTGATCCAGTAGGTTGGTATCCTCTGAAGTGACCTGAGAAGGATTTCTTTTCCTGGCCACCAAGGAATAAGTCTGAAAAGGGAAAATGACATAGCATGAAGAAAATGGACATTCATTTGGATTTTTACAAAATCTTAACACAATTGAATGGGATTTTTATAGAAAGTTTGTGTTATTTAGTATAGCTTTATGGCTTAAATACCATTTATTGGCATTCATGCAAGAGAAAAAAACAAATGCATGATATTTCTTTAAAAAGGGGGTAGTGGCAACCAGACTGCATTGAAAAAAAATCTTCATAGTTTAAAGTATCCTGTCATTTTCTTGGTTTGTTTCAGTTCGTTAATGCCAGTCTGTTTAGATTTAGCAGTTAACAAGCCAAGTTTCATTTTAGATCCTATGCAGTAAGGCAGTTTCTTCAGTTTCGTCAAACAACTGACAAGGGAGTCCACGTGTTGCTTTACATAAAAACCGAAGCAGACCAAACATGGGGTTTAAATGGGTTTGCTATTGTAAACACCATATTTGAAAAAGTGAATGAAATACAAGCTTCCTAATCCTTGTCCAGACTACTCCTAATCTCCTTGCAACACAGTCCATGAGTTCTTTCCAATTTAGAACATGAAAGATCAATACAAAACCTGTGCCTGCTCCCTGCTTTGTTGTGGACTTGTTCAAGCGGTATGCGCTGGGTCCGTGAACATCAGTCATGGAGTGAGCCGATAAATAAGAAGAGTGTGATATGAACTTTATTGAAAGGGCAGGGGTCAGTTGGTGAGAGGAAGAGAGTGAAAGCTGGTGGAATGGTTCCATATCTCTTTTGTTTGTGGTTTGCAAAAGGAGCCTCTTCTAATTGATAGTTTCGAGTGTTAGGTCCAACTCTGTCTGAAAAAAAAAAAAAAAAACAACTACAACAACAAAACAAAAAACAATATAACCAAATGTGAAAAAGATAGCTACTGATTGAATATTTTGTAAATGTGAAAAGTAGTGTCAAAATTTTCATCACATATTGTGGCTAATTAGTATATTTCATTTGAAAAATTATCATCAAATTGGTTCCAGAAATTTATTCACACTCCTAATTTCCAAATACATCTCAATATTATTTCTTGTATTGACATGTAGTGGTTTGAAGGATTACTGTAGTTGCTAGGCTATGTGGAATAAGTTAGAATTACTTGGGTTGAGTAGGTAGAGAAAAGTACAGAGTCCATGCAAATTCACTCTCAAGGAAAAAGTCACTGTGCAACTCAAACAGGTTACAATGATCTCCCGGAACTTGTTTAGAAAAATCATTTTTTTTTCTTTTATAAACAGATAATGCTTAACTGTCATTTCCTTTGGATTAGCTATAATGTTTGCATTAACTGATGTACAGTGTATTCTGAAATGTGCCAGTATGATTTAAATTTCCTATATGGACTCTCTGTACTGATGTGGAACAATGCTTTCATTTGATAAATGGAAGATGTGCCAGATTATCGTCAGTGCCAGACTGTATATGTAATATTATAGTGATTGCATATACAAGCATCAACCCTTAATCAGACATTGTGGTTTGTGAGATATAGCAACATCAGTGACATTCTATTTATATGAGTTTTCTGCTTTTTGTGGTTATCCTCGTTTGTCTGACATCCTTCCCTTCCTGCTTCCCCACTTGACCCCACCCTTTGCACGCCTTGCTGCCTTACTTTATCATGTGCATATTCCATCTAAATCATGTTTGATCATACCAATATGCCAGCATGCATCTGTCTGTTAAGATGAATAATTATATGTAGATTTGATTGGAGAAGTAGCATCTCTGGCTTTCATTGATCTGCCAGCTGGTAGGATTGGGAAGAAGGCCCACTGGAGATTGCAACAAGAAAAACCTATTATCTTTCAACAAAATAGGCGCAAACTTGATTAGAATCATGCCTTTGGTATTTTCTCATATATGCTGTTTCTTTTGCATTTTTTAGAATATTTTTTGCTCTAGGAAGGCATTATTTATTTTGATATGCTTCTGAGTGGGTTAATCTGGTAAATAGAGAGGATAGACTCCCAGGAAAACAGAAGGTTACTATGCTGATATTGATAACCGAGAGGCTCAATCATTGGGAATTTAATTGGTTATGTAAGAAATTCAATGGGGCTCACATTTTATAAGACACGGTTGATATTTCTGGTAATTGCAGTCCAAAAATTGTATCTGTTAATAAAGGAAAGCGATCTAAGGATGTGCTGCAGAATTTTAAAAAAGTTAAATGCTACATTAAAATTTGAGAGGAATTATGAAATGTCAGTATAAGCTTAAGGATTCAACAGATTTATATGTAGGGCACATTTATTCACACAAATATGATTTCCAGCCCAAACAGAGTTAGATAAATGTTGTGATATTTTGAAAAAAGGTATAAAAAAACTGTGAAGAGTTATCCTGTTGGAAAAAATATGAGTATGTGGAGTTCATTGGCTGTTTAACTGATCAAACCCATAATAAAGTCTGTTGACATCACCAGGGACCCATATGGGAGCTTCAGGTGTTATGTTTCTGGATTTAACAAATCTACGTTAATAAATTTTTAGTTTTTAAACATGTTGAAACTTTTATTAACAATAAAAACAAACAATCCCAATCCTTGTCACATTGCTAAACAACCCAGAAAGATGACTAATTACAGATATATATACAATGATTGTGGTAAACACAACATAACTTAGCACCAGACAAGATATCGCTTACTGCATGTGAAAACTAAAATTCTTAACTACAATTATTTCATGAGGTCATTTATATCCATTTCACACCAGTAGCGAATTTGATTACAATTCGAAGCGTTGTAGTAGTGTGAATGGATGAGGATGTCTGTTAACCAGTTTCTCAAAATCCTGCTAGCTAGCTGCATTTTTGACATCAATTGGAATAACTCATTGGAACTGGCAACAGGTGAAGATATCACTGCATGTTGCGCATGTGCCAACAAAAATGTGGGAAATAAGACAACATCAAACTATGGGACAGTGGACAGGAAAAGAAGTTTAAAGCTTGTTAGAAGTCACGTGTAGGGGAAGGAGATACATCAAAAATCCTTAACAAACCAGAGAAATGGTTTTCCAAATAAAACACACACACACACACACACACACACACACACACACAAAAAAAAACAGTATGTATACCATAAAGAAATAAATGACACCCATCTTTTTGTATGCTCAAGTTTTCCTGTGTGGCACATGCAAGATTGTTCAAACTGCAGGAAGTCGCACTGGCATTTTCAGCTTTGCAATTCTGCTTCATTTTGCTGTGTGTAAACAGGAAAGTGAATCAAATTTTTCATCTGAAATTCATATTCAAAAATTTGAATTTTTTCGCATTGTAGTCTGAATGTGGTATTTAATGAACTATCTCTAGTCTCAGTTGTCTAGCTGCGGACTAAAACTTGATGTGCTCAGAAGCTTAATTAATTGGTTAAAGCTCATTCCCTGGCCTAGCCATCTCAATCTGCTCTGTTCCGTGATGTAATTTGGCTAGATTATACTGTTTTGTAAGTTTAACCATTGCATGGATTAATCACAGGGGCTGCTCAAGGCATAATGTGCAATAATAGTGTGTGATGCGAAGTAATTGCAGCTTCTTATGATTAAGTGTTCAGTGTGAAAGTGAGGATTTTTCCCAGGTAAACCTTAAATTTTAATTAGATGCAAATACCATTATTATGAGATATAAATGGCAAAAATGAAGAAATAAGAGGTGTGCCAGATTATTTAGTCAAAATTCTTCCTCTTTTTTTTCCTGTCTTCACAATCCGTGGCAGTCTGTTCTTTCATCCTTGTGCATCTGTCTCTGTGATGGTTTACTTTCTTTCCTTGTCTCGTTGCTTTACCTGCAAAACTGGACATATAGACATAAGTTAATAAACTTTACAGAAATAAATATGAGATACAGTTAGATGCAGTAATATCCAATTAATAAGTTTGATCAACAGCCAGGGTAAATAAGGTAAGGCAAAGCATAAGGCTCAGGTTTCCAATTATAAATTTGATTGACTTGGGGAGGAAAATGGGCCTGGCTAAGATATAAGGAGTCAGTATACTGCCATTGTACATGGGTGAACACCATGTTGTAGATGTATGAAGTCAATAAAGATGGACTAACAATAGCAGCAAGCCAGAGAATAATGCCATTGATTTCCCCCTGGGTTTTCTTTACATTCCCTGGAATCAGACAGAGTTCAAGATAATTCTTTGTAATAGCAGACAATTATCATTGGGGATATCTAACCTCAGACACAAACGTGAATTGATGTGTTCAGGACAGTGCTCAGTTGCAGTATTTTATCCTTAATAGGAATCACTTTTCTCTATTCCGTATCCATGCTTGTTTATTCTCGTCCATGCCTGGCAAAGTTTTTTCTTTTCTAATTTCCCAGTAATTAACACTGATATTGATGTATCAATGGGTTCCTACAAGAGAGGACCAATATTTGCAAATTCTTATGTCAATTCTTCAAATACATTTCAAAATACAGCTCAAAATCACCAACCACTTCATGTCTTTTGGTTGACTGCCTATTGCCAATATAAATAATCTAACAGTTTTTTATATACAGACACTTACAGTGTCTGTATATATTCTGGTTTGTCTGTCTGTCAGTGTCGTCACAGTCGCCTTGGTGTCCGACACATTCATCCCATATCTGCCAAACTGTATTTTTGTTTTACTTTAAATTAACTGACTTGCTTTGTTTGGTATGACATATGACATGACATTCATCCCATATCTGCCAAACTGTATTTTTGTTTTACTTTAAATTAACTGACTTGCTTTGTTTGGTAAAGAAGCAGGTTGCTTTCAAAAAGTCAGCATCCATTCACATTTACAGTAATTATTCTGTTTTTTTGCACAATTTTGGTGACATTGGCCCCATAACTGCCAAACTATATTTTTGCTTTACATTAGATTTACTGAGTAGCTTTGTTTGGTAAAGAAGCAGGTTGCTTTTGAAAATCTGTATGAATAGTTTACATTTACTGTACTTATTTTGTTTTTTTTTGTACAATTTTGGTGATGTTCACCCCAGAACTGCCAAACCATATTTTTGTTTTACATTAAATTTACTGAGTGGCTTTGTTTGGTAAAGTGGCAGGTTCCTTTCGAAAATCAGCATGATTGCTTTACATTTACGGTAATTATTCCGTTTTTTTTATATATTTTATTTTTCACACATGAGCATTTTCAGTGGCTTTTTTAACCCATGAAACTGAATTACTTGCTAGTTTATTAATATCCATGTTGCCTGTAGTACATAATGTAAGAGGGTAAGGGCGATTATGCTGTTTTAGAGCATAGTGTTAGTAATAGTGCATCAAAATTGGCCAAAACATTCGTCTGAACATTTGTCAGCTTTGCTGCCTTGTTTCCTGTATTGTGTCTGTATATTTGTCAGCTTTGCTGTCTCGTTTATATTTTTAAGGATCATAAGTAAAATAAATGGTTTTCCATGTTGTAAATTTTATTTCTGTTGAATATGACTTTTTGTTGTTTGATTGATAGATTTTGATCTATAGATATGTACACTGTATATAGATGGATTTTATTCAAGACTACTGATATTTGACTTTATAAAACAGAGGAAATAATAAATCATCATTAAGCTGATGATTGAAAATTGAATTGCATTAATCTGATATAACACATGATTCCCATTCTTTCTTTATATTTGTATTAAAAAGCAATTGCAATAATGATTTTTTTTCTTTTTTCCAGAAAAATTCCATAGCTATGTCACACTCAAACTCCAAAATGTGAAATCTACTACTATCGCGGTAAAGGGCAGACAGCCAAGCTGGGAGCAAGACTTTATGTTGTAAGTGTTCAACAGGTTGCACACAGAAAACCACCTCTTGTGTGAGCCTCTTTACTTACTTTTTCTATTGCCACTGCTCACCAACATTGATATGACTTATCTTTTGCTGTATTGAGCAAATGTTCCATGATTTATTTGGTTGATTATCTTGCAATTTATGAAGAGGAATATTTGAAAGAGGTATTATTATCTTGCAGATTTATGTAATTTAGGTTAAAGAAAGTATATTTCTGGAGTGAAATTGGACTCATCTGCAAAATTTCAGAATGAATATTGGTGACAGTCCAATTTTTTCAGTATTGAAGATTAGATTTACTGATACAGTACATTCTTTACTCATACAAAAATGGATTATCACCATAAAGTAGTTTTTAACACATCTTTTGTAAAGGCAAGTTATTTTTGTATGACCTTTAATATGAAGGTTTTGAAGAAAAATAAAGTATTGTTACAATAGCTCTTAATGATTCCAAATATTTTTAAAAGTGAATACATAAAAAAGTTAAGAATAGGTAAATAATAGAAATAATAAAAAAATCTGGGTTTAGACATGATGTTTTTTTTTTCCTTTTTGACTGAAAAGAGTAATTGGAACACAGATAATCTTTTAAGTGCTTTGTTATTCATTATTAATATATTTATCAATGCATCCCTCTGCTTTCAATAAGTGGCAAAAAAAGTCTGTTGAACCAGCAGGAGACTGAATCTGTTCTAAGGACATGGAGGTCATGAATGCATTTTAAAAAGGATGAAACAAAAACATTTGGTTTTTGAGAAATAAACAATATGGAGTCTATTTGTCAAAATATTGCATCCAGTTGTCAAATGATCAGTGGATAATGAAGATGCCTTTGTGGTATTAAGTAGATTTTTTTTTCTTTCCTTTATAAACCACAATTTTGTGTGTATGCACAACAAATATGCCCCTCGCCAATATGATCATGATTGCAATATAGTTATTGTTGTCTAATCTTTGGAATAATGCATTATTTATGACATGCTCTGGTGTCACTTTCCCCATTGATGGTAACCTTCGATAATGATTTTCTGTCGTGAATCATGTGTTATAGGCAGTGTGATTAGTAATAACCATGGTGAAATAGGCCACACACTCCATGGTTATATGGCAGGAGAAAGGGAAGAACGAGGTGATGACATTAATCTCGCGCTGCCTCACAAACCTGTCCTACTATTGGGAATTGGGAGTAATGAACAGTGGCCTGTATTGTGTACTGTTGATTCAGTCATACATAGCTCTCAGCCTTTTGTGCTGCAAACACACCAGATCATTGATTCTCGGAGTTGGGCAGGGGTTCCAGATCAACAGCAGCTGCAGAGTGCAGGGAATTTCCAACACAAAGTTAACACAACCCACGGCCTCATGGTCATCTTGTGGCCATCAAAAAAAAAAAAAAAAAATGATCCAGTGAAAATTGAATTCCCCAGAAGACAGAGAAATTGCTTTGAAATTTAAATTAACTATGCTGATCAATAATTTGTGGAAATTCCAACCTAACTAGGTTAGAGATGAATAGATAATGGAGAGGGGTGGCTCTCTGTAATTCATTTTATGGGTAAAAAGATGGAGAAAAGTGTGGAGTTGTTCTTGTATTTCTGTGCAGTGATGTGATGAAAGCAGGTGACAGAGGTTGATATGTGGACTGCATGGTATGATATTACCATACCACCCACCAGTTCCTTAATATACCATAATATGCAAAAGCTATGAAAGCAATGAATGCATGTGTGCGACACCTACACACTTTGCCACATGATACAGGCAATGTGTCCCTGAAAAGAATACTTATTTGGATTTCTGCAAAGCTGTGCTATCTGAAAAAGTGATGTAATCTACTTCAGACAAGTGAAGTAATAACATAAACTGTGGGATGAAGTGTTTTACTCTAATGAGAAAAACTAAATGTATGCATTAACAAATAAAAGAAAAAAATTCTACCAGCTTGATTTGGGTTGTTCTATAGAATAAACAATATTCCTGCCACATATGTATGACTGACTGAGTGATGTTGTAGGTGGGTATGTTTATGTAGAGACTGAGACCATAAGAAATGTTATTTCCAAATGTTGGTGGATGACTGACTGTCACCTTTTGGAGTTTTACACAAAACATTAGATAATCAGTGAAGGGAAGGCCTTGGCATGCTCTATTGCATGTATAAATGCCTCCGTGCACTTCTGCATTTCGTGACTCTTACTAGGGATAGAGCATGACACATCCTGATATTTTTTGCTTGAAAACCGTGGTTTAAATATATATAAACTGAAACAGGTTGATCTTGTTCACTAGTACAGTCAATGCATTCTACTTTTTAAAATGCTGTTGCGTGAGATTCAGCAGCCAACAAATTGAGTCAAATTGATTGCATTAGCAAAATGCTTCATTGTTCAATGTATGCTAACAGTAGTTGCTACTGTGTAAACATGTCTATGGATTGGGAAGATGTTATCCAAGTGAATAGATGCCAGCCACTCATGGGATTGCACCATGTCTGATAAACTCAAAGACTGCTTATTGACAGAGTCATATTTTTAATTCAAAATCCTACTGATCATGAGCTTTATTTTAAAAAAACCTTAACCTTAAACAAGTTATTTTTTAGTTGGCAGAGCTATTATGCTTTGAAAAGTTGAATCCAATTTGATTGTAATTATGTCTGCCATTTCTTTCTGTGTCAAAAAGTCAAAATCCTGGTATTTTTAATAGGTAATTAAAAAAGTCTACTTGTTCCTTTGGTGAAGTTGTTATAACCAGTGGACATGATATTGTTAGAAACTAGGGGACTAGTCAAAAAAAAAATAATAAATTAAAAAAAATAAATAAATAAATAAAAAACTTGCAGTGATGAGCAAATGTTTGTAGGCAAACACTGGCATTAGGAATCATTGTGACACTTTGTCACTGAGGAAATCTTTATATTTCAGCCATAAAGCCCTATAGACATAACAAGACGAGAATATTAGAGCAACAGTATCATCCTATAGCAGAAAATATGTTCCTATCAAGGTCTGAATTACTCTACTACATCAATTCTGTGCTATGATTAATCAATCGATAATTTTTGATGATCCTCTTAAGACCAGTGACCCATTGCTGCATTTGTCAATGATTCTGGTGTTTTGCAGTGACTAGACATAATTTTTCCATAAATAACTGTTATTGATTCAAGTAATTATTCAAGGCAAATGTGTTAAAGATGTAAAGGTTTTTTCTTCTAATTTAGTTGGAATAATACATGTGTGAACATAGTTTACTGATCTTTTTATTATTTAAAAAGGAAGAAGAAAAAGAATACTAGGTGTGTGCTGACACGGGATCAGAAGATGAGTCTCAAACAGCCACATCAACTGTTATTTACCTGTCACGAGAGACAGTTTACATGACACATGTATAGTAATAGATATCCTATTCTATTCAGTTACAAACTCTCCCATGGCCATTTGGATACCTATAATACAAAATGTCAGTGTCATGACTCAGATGTTGGATATGAATTCTTTTAAACAGCTGTTATAGAATTATTTATCTTTTGGTTTTAATAAAACTTTTGATAAATCTGATCAACTTAACACTTGTTTTATATGGACGTTAAAAATTATTGAATTGACTTGGTTTTGATGAATTTTTTTGGAATATCATAATTACTCAACAGCAGCAGGGGGTGAAGAAATGATATGGTTTACCTGGATTATGAGTCTGTAAAACCTCTCAGTTTACCTTCAAATTTGATAAGAAAAACTACCGACTTGTATTCCTCTATAGATATCTGAAAGATGACAAGCATTGAAAGCAAATTTAACTATTTAGATGGTAAAATTTAATGTCCCCATCTAGAACTGGTTACTAAAGACCTGTAAATTTTACTATATTTTAAGTAAGTAATCTTAAAAAAAAAAAAAAAAGCTATGTGCAATCTTTTGTTAATTTGTCTAGCATTTTCAAGCAGAAGAGAAAATTAAAGACAGTTCAAGCAGTAAAGTCGCTTGAAATTCCTTACACATACTCATTTGTTTAAATAGGCCTCCTTTTTAGGTTAAGCATGCCAATTAATTTGTAGTGACAGTAAAAAAAAAAAAACTTGTCTGGTAGGACATCAGTGCTTTTCAGTTAAAGAATTATGATGTCACTGATGGAAATATCTCAAAGAAAAAGAAGCTTCATTATCAACCTGTTGAGAGGGTGCCTGGTGGAGTTGTACCAACCTCTTTACATGACATCCTGAACCATAAATAAAAATGGCATTTAGTTATTTAGGCGAATGAGACCTCTAGATGAGAGGCCATTACTTGTAATTTCATTTCTGGGTAATGTCAGGAAATCAATAGCAGCCAGATACAGATCTGCCGTCCATGCAGCAGGAGAACACTGTATGTGGTAGTGAGACTAGTGAGAGAGCTAGTGGAAGCTAGCTTAAGCTCTAACCAAGTGGTAATATTCACTTGCACTCTGTCATGTAGAGCCTCTCCACCTACATCTAGCCATAATTTGGTTGTGATTCAATATGGATTCAGCAGAAGTTTACAAATATTGATTGCAATCAGTCAGAGTTGGTTGCTGAACCTCGTTGTGAACCAAGCTTGAGCGAGTGCTATGTACAGTAATCATCATCACCTGATAACATTATAGCTCTTGGAGTAGGGCTTCTGTTGATAATAATTGAATAAAGTTATCAGAAAATATTTAGGATTCAATAGTAAAAAAATATGTAAGAAAGATCGTTTAACGTCAGTCAATGAAATAAAAACATATCTGAAATTGTGCTATGTATAAATTCATGGAGTTCAATACTCATCCATGTAAGCAATGTGGATAAACTTAAAGACCAGTCCAGACACGGGCTAGATTGCGCCTCATGTAAATCAACACACAAGTCCTAAGGCACACTTTTTGTCGAAAAATTTTGAAAAAATGATGGTCGAAGTGATAATGATTGCCGTCAAGTGGAAGTTTTCTTGACGTGACATTTGCAGACACCATGTATGCCCATTTTCAGGCAACTTAATCTCAAGAGCATTAGGAAGCAACATATTATACCATGGAAAACAGGAGATCCAATATTGGTGAAATAAAATCTGGCAGCTTCATGTGCATAAAATGCTAGAATTAATTAAGTGAAACACAGGAATAGTTGGTTTGCATTATTACGAAAAAGGTATTTTGGGGGTGAAGTCGTGTTTTTAAGGAAAAAGTACTTGGAATGAGACAGATTGTATAATGTGCAATTTATTTGGTCCTTAACAAAAAAAAAAAAAAAAAAA